TTACAACATGATCATTCAGTCACATGACCTCATTACAACATGATCATCCACGGTTATGCTTCTCTTTAAAGACTTTGTTTCTGCATTGTGTTTTTTATTTTGTTTTCCCCTGTAAAAATTTTTAAAATCTAGAACATAGAGACTATTTGCAAGGAATTTCTTCCCCCTCCCCACAGGGCAGGGTTCTGAATACAGGGATTTCACCAAAGATCTCTTGTTTGCACAGTTGATCATCAATGAGTGTTTTGAAAGAATCAGATATCTGGTTATTGGCAATACTAACTTATTAAACATGCTATCTTGCTGATTTTAAAACAGATAATAAATACCCCTAATGATTTCTGGAGAAATCCATGCCTTGACAATTTTACTGGACTGTGAGAAACAAAGCAGATTTCCTCATCTTCAGGAGCTCTGCAGGTTTTATAGCATGGGTGTCCTTTCTTATCTCTCCCTAGATCCTCAAGACTCTGCAAATGCAAGGTCATGGACTTCCAAGTCAATTGCCCTGTGAATTCAGGCTTTGTAGACTCACAAACCAGGACTCTCAGAAACAAACAGCCGCACACATCTAAAATAAGCAGATTCTGGAGAAAAGAAAAGATTCACTGAGACAATGTGCTGGGTCTCGATGGGACAGACTTGTGTGATGCCTTCAGACCAACCGAAGAGGCCTTGGAGGCTCTGAGCATCGAAATTCCACAAGGCAGCTGCTGAGACAACACCGACTTTTCTCTGCTTGAAATAGACCCATCCCAGGAGTCATAATTCCTGGTCCTACACTAACCAGCACAGCTGCAAACAGGTTGGTTGCCCTGGCACAGCACACCGGGCAGAGCTCAGGCCAGGCCCTCTGGCTTTCCACACCCTCTTGGCCAGAACCATCCACAGGAGGCATGGCCACATTCATCTTCGCTTATCCTCTATGTTAGACACCAGAGGCTTCAAACATCCTTTGAAAGCATGTCCTGGAAGAGCAAGACCGGTTTTGTGTGTTTCCTGTCATTAGCCAGAGTAAACATCTCCTCCTTTTCCTCTTTTCCTTTCCACGGAGTCCCTCCGGAAGCATTTCGACTTCCACAAACACTCATCTTTCACACCCCTCCACCATAATCTTCTCCTTTATCAAGTTTGTAAATAAGTGCTCTCCAGATTTATTTTTATTCTCTTTTGTGTTTATTAAACTTTGAACAAATTTTTCCCCCTTTCTGGTCTTCTGCCCATACACACTTTCCTTTTTTACGGCTGCCTCAGACCATGAGGTCAATTTTGTTTCTTCTACGTCTAAGCAAATCCCCAAATGATCCTGTCCCAGGCTTTTGAGCACTGAAGGGGCATCGGCAAATATTTACAAGATCAGCTTGATGGCTAAGTGTGGTCCCTCTTCTCTGCTCCCTCCAGCCCAGGCACACAGTTCTCTCTGCTGGCTCACAGAACCATTTAGACAGCTTATATTTCAACCGACTGATAATATCAATCTGCATTTAGGTTCTAGTTAATACACTAGGTGGTAGGATGGCTCAGCAGGTCTGACCAATGTCTCTGGTCAGGTTTTTGGAGCCAGGTGAAGCAACTGGGCCTGGAGGAGGATGTGACTAGCCAATAAAAGCTGCTGACCCAAGAGCTGTCCCCTACTGTCACCTGCTTACTGATCACAAGGTCCCTGGCCTGGATGAGGGGCTTGAGCAACCTGCCAAGTATACTGTCATTTAGGGGAGATATTGCTGAAAACTGCTCTAAATGAAATGGGTTACATTATCACCAGCCAGAACCAGAACATGGCAAGCTTACTCCCTCAGCTCAGGCCGCCAGAGCAGCTGGGTAAGGGTTTAATGGCTTGTGCAGCTCAGATCCACCCACTTAGGAATGAGCTGTTTCCTCTGCTTCCTCCAAGAACTCACTTTCCCCTCTGGGATGGGTTCTTGCTACGATCCTCTGTAATTCCAATCCCAGCTTCCATTCTCTTTCTGGCCAGGTGGCCAGGTACTCCCGCTTGCCCAGTGCCGGTTTATCCACACACACAGCCTGGCCCACTCCTTTTCTGACCCACTTTTTCAACCCAAGCAAACAGATTTCCCTTCAACCCTCCGGCTTTCTGACAGGCCGCTGACTCTGTTACTTCCCCCAAAGCATTCATTTCCATGTGCCTTGCACTCAGAGAAAACCATGTGCACCGGAGATTCGTGTGTCACCAACTGAATGGTCATCTGCCCCTCCCCTTGCTCTGGCTACACATTTTTTGCTAAATTGAATTTGGGGAATTGGAGGGCTAGGGGCACAGGGATTTAACTCCTCAATAGTTTGCAAAGTATCAGTATACAGAAAGCCAAATGTAGCATTTAACCACATATGACTTCATAAACATAACATACTGACTTGAATATGTTCCAAATAAGTAATTTATTATATATACCATATCTTCTCTATAAAAGCACCTTGGGCTCAGGTGTCTTTTATTTACAGTTCTTTACTTCTGCGTAGCCCAGAGCTGACTTCTCGGCCTTGTGACCAGAACAGATGCCAGGGTCCTCATACCCAGGCCCTCACCCTGAGTTGAATGCTCTATGGTATCATTTTGAAATCCTTAATAACATTTTAGTTCATGTTTGATTTTTTTACGTGAAGTCCTATAGGGCTATGGGTGTGAGGCTTGGAACTGCAGCCCTTGTACTGACCTATCTTTCCAGGATTTGCTGCTTCTGCTCTTTGCTCGCTGCTGGTCCCGGCCTCACACAAGGTTCTTGGACCACATGGTGACCACTGTTGTCATCTACACTTAGAAGAGTTAGAATCAGGAACACAACTCAAGTCATTTTGAGGTTGCAACTACCCTATCCCTTGCTGGCAGTGTCACAGTGCATTCAGAAAAACATACAGTGGGGACACACCCCCAGCCCACTTTACTTACCAAGCATAGGCCACTATGGAGCTTACAATATCCTGGAATAGAGCAACAGACTTATGGGGAAGAGCATGCCTGCTTGGTGATACCACAGGCAGTCAGAGTCAGAGGGTCCCTAGCAACAGGTAGGCTGAACATTCTGAGTTAGCGGGCAAAACCTTGGGTATCATCATAAGGGAACATAGCCAACATAGGCAGAGGCCAGAGGCAGACAGAGAGACAGAAAGAGGCGGAGATAGACAGAGGGACAGGGACCGAAGGGGGAGAGGCAGAGAGAGAAACAGAGGCAGAGGAAGAGGAAGAAACTATGAAATAAAGCCAAAAATTGTACATTCTATGACCAGCTTTCCTTTCTCCCTCCCTCCCTCCCTCCCTCC